GTCTACAGGAGGTCGTGGGTTCGATCCTGACCCTGATGCTTGCTGTGTATTTGTAGTTTGCGGTGTCTCTCTCTCTCATCATCATCACGGTGGCTAGGAGATGTTAACTACCTCGCCTGGTCTACAGGAGTTCGTGGGTTCGATCCCGACCCTGACGATGCCTGCTGCTGTATATTTGGAGTTTGCGTGTCTCTCTCATCATCGCCACGGTGGCTAGGAGATGTTAACTACCTCGCCTGGTATACAGGAGTGAGTTCGATCTGAACCCTGATGCTTGCTGTGTATTTGGAGTTTGCGGTGTCTCTCTCTCTCATCATCATCACGGTGGCTAGGAGATGTTAACTACCTCGCCTGGTCTACAGGAGGTCGTGGGTTCGATCCCGACCCTGACGATGCCTGCTGTATATTTGGAGTTTGCGTGTCTCTCTCTCTCTCATCATCACCACGGTGGCTAGGAGATGTTGACTACCTCGCCTGGTATGCAGGAGGTCGTGGGTTCGATCCGAACCCTGACGCTTGCTGCTGTATATTTGGAGTTTGCGTGTCTCTCTCTCTCTCATCATCACCACGGTGGCTAGGAGATGTTGACTACCTCGCCTGGTATGCAGGAGGTCGTGGGTTCGATCCGAACCCTGACGCTTGCTGCTGTATATTTGGAGTTTGCGTGTCTCTCTCTCTCTCATCATCACCACGGTGGCTAGGAGATGTTGACTACCTCGCCTGGTATGCAGGAGGTCGTGGGTTCGATCCGAACCCTGACGCTTGCTGCTGTATATTTGGAGTTTGCGTGTCTCTCTCTCCCTGTGGTCGCGTGGATATTGCTCCAGGTCCTCCGGGTTTTCCCTCCACGTTAAGAATCAACACCACCATCACGCCTTCAGAGTGTTTGGCTGCTACTAGAAATGTCGTGGTGGTTGTTGTTGTTGTTGTGGTGGTTGTTGTTCTTGTCGTGGTGGTGGTGGTTGTTGTTGTTTTCGTGGTGGTGGTTGTTGTTGTCATGGTGGTGTTGGTGATGGTCGATTTTTGTCGTGGTGGTGATTGTTTTCGTGGTGGTGATTGTTGTCGTCGTGGTGGTGGTTGTTGTCGTGGTGGTGGTTGTTGTCGTGGTGGTGGTGGTTGTTGTTGTGGTGCTGGTGGTTGTGGCGGTTGTTGTCGTGGTGGTGGTTGTTGTTGTCGTGGTGGTGGTGGTTGTTGTCGTGGTGATGGTGGTGGTGGTGGTTGTTTTCGTGGTGGTGGTGGTTGTTGTTGTTGTTGTGGTGGTGGTTGTTGTCGTGGTGATGGTTGTTGTTGTTGTTGTGGTGGTGTTGGTTGTGTGGGCCTGGCGTGCCACCGCTGCTCACCGGGCCGCTGATGGTGCCGGACGCCAGCAGGTCCCCGGGGCGCAGGTTGCAGCCGGAGGCCGCGTGGTGCACCAGCTGCTGCTTCATGCTCCAGTACATGTGCTGGGGGGTCACGTGGCACGGTCGCTCACCCATACAACTCACCCACAACGCTCACCCGCACCGCTCACCCATACAGCTCACCCATACAGCTCACCCGTACAGCTCACCCGCACCACTCACCCGCAACGCTCACCCGCAACGCTCACCCGAGATGAGAGGGGAGAGGCAGGAGAGTGCGTGGAGGGGAGTAGAGTGAGATGAGAGGGGAGAGGCAGGAGAGAGCGTGGAGGGGAGTGGAGTGAGATGAGAGGGGAGAGGCAGGAGAGAGCGTGGAGGGGAGTGGAGTGAGATGAGAGGGGAGAGGCAGGAGAGAGCGTGGAGGGGAGTGGAGTGAGATGAGAGGGGAGAGGCAGGAGACTGCGTGGAGGGGAGTGGAGTGAGATAAGAGGGGAGAGGTAGGAGAGTGCGTGGAGGGGAGTGGAGTGAGATGAGAGAGGAAAGGCAGGAGAGTGCGTGGAGGGGAGTGGAGTGAGATGAGAGGGGAGAGGCAGGAGAGTGCGTGGAGGGGAGTGGAGGGAGATGAGAGGAGAGAGGCAGGAGAGTGCGTGGAGGGGAGTGGAGTGAGATGAGAGAGGAAATGCAGGAGAGTGCGTGGAGGGGAGTGGAGTGAGATGAGAGGGGAGAGGCAGGAGACTGCGTGGAGGGGAGTGGAGTGAGATGAGAGAGGAAAGGCAGGAGAGTGCGTGGAGGGGAGTGGAGTGAGATGAGAGGGGAGAGGCAGGAGAGTGCGTGGAGGGGAGTGGAGTGAGATGAGAGGAGAGAGGCAGGAGAGTGCGTGGAGGGGAGTGGAGTGAGATGAGAGGGGAGTGGAGTGAGATGAGAGGGGAGTGGAGTGAGATGAGAGGGGAGAGGCAGGAGGGGGGTGCGTGGTGGCTTGAATCTGGGTACCAACCTTGAAGTTGGATTTGCAGACGATCGCCGGCTCAGCCATCCCCTCTCCTGAGTGGCAGTGGACACGGACACGGCGGTTACCCATCACCAAGTCCACCCTCGCCCCCTCACCCCCTCGCCCCCTCACCCCCTCGCGTTAACCCTTTCCCCGAAGACTACCGCAAGCCGCAGGGTGGGTCCCGTTACTTAAGACTAATTTCACTTGTGTATTGTACCAGGTAATGTCCACCGCCGAGCTGCCGCTTAGCGGCTAATCATCGCCATCGCCGCGTGGACATCGACGCTCTGAACGCGCGTCGTTGATTCGAGATTGCGGAGAGAAAAATCGGGAGGACCTCTAGAACAATCCACACGTCCACGGGGCGAGAGAGAGAGGGAGAGAGACGCAAACTCCAAATACACAGCAGTAGGCGTCGTCAGGGTCTGGATTGAACCCACGACCTCCTGCATAGCAGGCGAGGTAGTCAACATCTCCTAGCCACCGCAGTGGTCACTTGAAGGAGAAGTGGATCACGCTGGCTCCTTTATTGGACACCGGTGCGGCGCTGCTCTAAGATAGAATGCGGTGCGATGACGATGATGACGACGACGATGATGACGACGATGACGACGATGATGATGACGATGGCGATGATGATGACGATCACGATGATGATGACGATAAAGATGACAATGACGACAATGACAAAGACAACGATAACGATGACGACATCCATGACAATGATGACCTTCGACGACGAGAATGACGACATCAATGATGATGACATCATTGACCATGACGACATCGATGACGACATCAATGATGACGACATCGATGACGACGACATCATTGACCATGACGACATCGATGACGACGACATCGATGACGACGACATCAATGACGATGACATCATTGACCATGACGACAATGACGACATCGATGACGATATCAATAACGACATCAATGACGAAGACATCATTGACCATGGCGACAACGACGACGATGGTAACATCGGCGGCGACGGCGGCGGCGTTAACAACGACAGTGATGACGGCGACGATAACGACGACGATAACTATAACCATGACAACGATGACGACCATAACAATGATGACGACGACAGGGATGACGGTGACGACATCGATGACGACGACGACGAGGAGGAGGAGGAGGAGGAGGGGGAGGAGGAGCGCTCACCGTGGATCCCCACGCTGAGGTGGATGTCGAAGGAGAAGGGGTCGGCGTGCTGCAGGTACGGGAGGGGCGGCGGATCCTGCACTCACACAAAGACAAAGATCACACAACTACACACACACACAACAAAGACAAAGATCACACAACTACACACACACACACGCAACTACACACACACAGACCTACATACACACACACCTACACACACAGACATACCTACACACACCGACATACCTACACACACCTACACACACAGACATACCTACACACACCTACACACACAGACATACCTACACACACACACCTACACACACAGACATACCTACACACACACACCTACGCACGCACGCACACACACCTGCACACACACCTACACACACACACCTACACCTATACACACACACACACCTACACACACACACCTACACACACACACACACCTACACACACATCTACACACACACACACACCTACACACACACACCTACACACACATACACATCTACACACACATCTACACACACACACACACACACCTACACACACGTGATGGAGCGGTGTGGCCGACGCTTTTGTCTCCTGGGTACTCATTTGAGGCTGAGCAGACCTAGGGGAGGCTCACGACCGAACCCGGATCACCGGGTTCGTAGCTGCCACCGCCGTGCCGCACGCAGCGCACCGCACGGTCAACGGTGGGCGGGCCGCGGTGAACGTCCGGCTCGTGCCGTGGGTCACCGTGGGTCACCGAGGGTCACCATGGGTCACCGTGGGTCACCGTGGGTCACCGTGGGTCACCGTGGGTCACCGTGGGTGACCGTGGGTGACCGTGGGTCACCGTGGGTCACCGTGGGTCACCGTGGGTCACCGTGGGTCACCGTGGGTCACCGTGGGTCACCGTGGGTCACCGTGGGTCACCGAGGGTCACCATGGGTCACCGTGGGTCACCGTGGGTCACCCGTGGGTCACCGTGGGTCACCGTGGGTGCGTGGGTCACCGTGGGGTCACCGTGGGTCACCGTGGGTCACCGTGGGGTCACGTGGGTCACGTGGGTGACCGTGGGTCACCGTGGGTCACCGTGGGTGACCGTGGGTCACCGTGGGTCACGTGGGTCACCGTGGGTCACCGTGGGTGACCGTGGGTCACCGTGGGTCACCGTGGGTCACCGTGGGTCACCGTGGGTCACCGTGGGTCACCGTGGGTCACCGTGGGTGACCGAGGGTCACCGCTGCACCTGCTTGGCGTTGGGCAGCACGAAGGGCGCCAGCGCCTCCATGGTGACCGTGGGTTACCGTGGGTCACCGTGGGTGACCGAGGGTTACCGTGGGTGACTGTGGGTTACCGTGGGTCACCGAGGGTTACCGTGGGTCACCGTGGGTGACCGAGGGTTACCGTGGGTTACCGTGGGTCACCGTGGGTGACCGAGGGTTACCGTGGGTCACCGTGGGTTACCGTGGGTCACCGAGGGTCACCGCCGCACCTGCTTTGCGTTGGGCAGCGTGAAGGGCGCCAGCGCCTCCATGGTGACCGTGGGTTACCGTGGGTCACCGTGGGTTACAGTGGGTTACCGTGGGTTACCGTGGGTTACCGAGGGTCACCGCTGCACCTGCTTGGCGTTTGGCAGCACGAAGGGCGCCAGCGCCTCCATGGTGACCACCCAGGGGGAGATGGAGGTGCCAAAGTTCTTGCCCAGGAAGGGCCCCAGCGGCACGTACTCCCACTTCTGGATGTCGCGCGCTGAGCGGCGGGGGGGGGGCAGTGAGATTACGGAGGATTCCTCCACCTCTTGATCATCATCGTCACCGTCGTTATTACCATCGTCGTCATCGTCGTTGTCACCATAATCATCGTCATCATCGTCGTCATCATAATCATCGTCATCATCGTCGTCATCATAATCATCGCCATGATCATCGTCATGATCATCGTCATCATCGTCGTCATCGTCGTCATCATTATCGTCATCATCATCATCATCGTCATGATCATCGTCATCATCGTCGTCATCATAATCATCATCATGATCATCGTCATCATCGTCGTCATCATAATCGTCATCATCATCGTTATGATCGTCGTCATCATCGTCGTCATCATCGTTGTCATCATCATCATCGTCATCATAATCATCGTCAACATCGTCGTCATCATCGTCATCATAATCATCATCATGATCGTCGTCACCAGCCATGTTCAATGCAGTTGCCCTGTCTCTCTCTCTCTCTACGCAGGCGATGAGTGAAGACTCGTCCAATTGTTACTAGTCGAACTGCATCGTCATTGTGGTTGTTGTTGTGATTGTTGTTGTTGCTGTCGTTGTGGCTATTGTGATTGTTGTTGTAATTGTTGTTCTTGTTGTGATTGTTGTTGTTATTGTAGTGATTGTTGTTATGGTTGTGATTATTGTTGTGAATGTTGTGATTGTTGTTGCCGTGCGTGTTGTTGTGGTTGTTGTCGTCGTGGTTGCTGTTGTAGTTGTTATTATTGTTGGTGTGGTTGTTGGTGTGATTGTTGGTGTGATTGTGATTGTTGTTGTGATTGTTGTGATTGCTGTTATGGTTGTGATTGTTGTTGTGAATGTTGTTATGTTTGTGATTGTTGTTGCCGTGCGTGTTGTTGTGGTTGTTGTCGTCGTGGTTGCTGTTGTAGTTGTTATTATGTTGTAGTTGTGGTTGTTGTTGTTGTGGTTGTTGTTGTGGTTGTTGTGGTTGTTGTGGTTGTTGTTGTTGTTGTGTCTCACCGCTCCAGTCGTTCATGAGCACCATGCCGAAGATGTGGTCCTGCGCGTGCTCCATGGCGATGGGCTCGCCCAGCCGGTTGCCAGGCCCCACGAAGAAGGCCTGGGGGTCACGTGGGGGGGGGGGGTCACGTGGGGGGGGGGACGAGGGGGGAGAGAGGGGGAGGGGAGAGGGGGGGGTGAGGGGGGGGGGGGGGAGAGGGGGGGGAGAGGGGGGTGGCGAGGGGGGAGGGGGGGCGAGGGGGGAGAGGGGGGGGAAAAGGGGGGAGAGGGGGGGAGAGGGGGGGGCGAGGGGGGGAAAGGGGGGAGAGGGGGGGGTCACGAGGGGGGGGGGGGCGAGGGGGGAGAGGGGGGGGGCGAGGGGGGAGAGGGGGGAAGGGGGAAGAGGGGGGGGGTCACGAGAGGGGGGGGGGGCGAGGGGGGAGAGGGGGGGGGGCGAGGGGGGAGAGGGGGGGGGCGAGGGGGGAGAGGGGGGGGGCGAGGGGGGAGGAGGGGGGAAGGGGGGAGAGGGGGGGGGGGTCACGAGAGGGGGGGGGGGCGAGGGGGGGGTGACGATGCGGTGGAATTCTTTTCGAATGCGTCTCGCCGTGGACCGTCAGAGAGCGGTGGCTCACGATGACGTCACTCTTCCGCGTGACGTCACGGGGATCTTTAACGTCCCTGGCGAGCGAAGGGCGCGTGGTAGTAGCGGTGTTGTTGTTGTTGTTGTCGTAGTTGTTGTTGTTATTGTTGTTGTCGTGAGGCTAATAGAAACACGGCGGTGTGAACGGGGTGTCCGCAGGCTGCGGTGTTGTTGCTGTTGATGTTGTTGTTGTTGTTACCATCTCCAGCTCGAAGTCCAGCAGGCGGCTTGCTCCGAACACGGGGGGCTGGTCTACACACACACACACGCGTGTACACACAAAGACAAAGATAAAGATCCCCCGTGTAGCCTTAACAGACTGTAGGGGCAAGTGCTGTTAGCGAGCACCTATGAAGGCCGGCACGGCACACGAGGGGGTGGGTGGCCAGCACCACGCCCGGCCGCCTTTGTCTCCCCAGTGGCGATGTTTGCACACCGCACCAGGTACTCATTTGAGGCTGAGTCGACCTAGCGGAGGCCCAGGATCGGTTCAGATAATCGTCACTGGTGTTGGCCGTGAGCGGGAATGGAACTCGGGTCGCCGGGTTCATAGCGCAGCGTAGCGCTAACCGCTACACTACCGCTCCCCATACACACACACGTACACACACACACACACGCACACACACACACACAGATACATAAACACGCACACACACAGGCGCACACGCACACACGCGTACGCACGGGAACACAGTCGTGTCACACACACATACACCTACACAACAACAACAACCGCCATTCGCCACTAAGTGGCGGTGACCACGACGCTTGTGCCAGGTCATGTGCACCTTGAGGTCACACACGCAGACCCCCACACAGACCCCCACACACACGTGTGTGTTAAGTATGTGCGTGTGAGTAGTGTGCGTGCGTGTACGTGCGTGTACGTGAATGTAGTGTGTTTGTGTGCGCGTGTACGTGTATACGTGCGTGTATGCGCGTGTGTGTGTGCGTGTATGTGTGCGTGTGTGTGTGCGCGTGCGTGCATGCGCGTGTGTGTGTACGTGCGTGTGTACGTGCGTGCCGCTGGACGGGAGGTGTGCGCTCACCGTCGTGGGGTCGCGTCTGGCCGTGGGGGCGGCGGATTGGAGTCCCCGACGGCACCACGGAGGAGGCACGGCCGTGGTAGCCCACCGGGAGGTGCAGCCTGCAGCACCACACTCACCATGCTCACCACCACGCTCAACACCACACTCCCCACTACCACCACCACCACACTCACCACACTCACCAACACGCTCACCACAACACTCACCACCACGCTCACCACAACACTCACCACAACACTCACCACAACACTCCCCACTACCACCACCACCACGCTCACCACGCTCACCAACACGCTCACCACGCTCACCACGATCACCAACACGCTCACCACCACGCTCACCAACACACTCACCACGCTCACCAACACACTCACCACAATCACCAACACGCTCACCACGCTCACCAACACACTCACCACCACGCTCACCACGCTCACCAAGACGCTCACCACCACGCTCACCACGCTCACCAACACGCTCACCACCACGCTCACCACGCTCACCAACACGCTCACCACCACGCTCACCACACTCACCAACATCACGGATGAGGCGCGGCCGTGGTAGCCCACCGGGAGGTGCAGCCTGCAGCACCACACTCACCAACACACTCACCACCACACTCACCACCACGCTCACCACGCTCACCACGCTCACCAACACCACACTCACCAACACACTCACCACCACGCTCACCACGCTCACCACCACGGAGGAGGCGCGGCCGTGGTAGCCCACCGGGAGGTGCAGCCTGCAGAAAACTCACCACGCTCACCACACTCACCAACACGCTCACCACGCTCACCACGCTCACCACCACACTCCCCACCAAACTCACCATACTCACCACGCTCACCACGCTCACCACCACGGAGGAGGCACGGCCGTGGTAGCCCACCGGGAGGTGCAGCCTGGAGCAAACTCACCACACTCACCACCACACTCACCACGCTCACCACCAAACTCACCACACTCACCACCACACTCACCACCACGCTCACCACGCTCACCAACACGCTCACCACCACGCTCACCACCAAACTCACCACACTCACCACCACACTCACCACGCTCACCACCACGGAAGAGGCTTGGTCGTGGTAGCCCACCGGGAGGTGAAGCCTGCAGCAGCAAACTCACCACGCTCACCAACACGCTCACCAACACACTCACCACGCTCTCCACGCTCACCAACACACTCACCACGCTCACCACCACGCTCACCACCACGCTCACCAACACGCTCAGCAACACGCTCACCACCACGCTCACCACCACACTCACCACCACGCTCACCAACACACTCACCACGCTCTCCACGCTCACCAACACACTCACCACGCTCACCACCACGCTCACCACCACGCTCACCAACACGCTCACCAACACGCTCACCACCACGCTCACCAACACGCTCACCAACACGCTCACCACCACGCTCGCCACCACACTCACCACCACACTCACCACGCTCACCACGCTCACCACCACACACACCACCACACTCACCACGCTCACCAACACACTCACCACGCTCACCACCACACTCACCACCAAACTCACCATACTCACCACGCTCACCACGCTCACCACCACGGAGGAGGCACGGCCGTGGTAGCCAACCGGGAGGTGCAGCCTGGAGCAAACTCACCACACTCACCACCACACTCACCACGCTCACCACCAAACTCACCACACTCACCACCACACTCACCACCACGCTCACCACGCTCACCAACACGCTCACCACCACGCTCACCACCAAACTCACCACACTCACCACCACACTCACCACGCTCACCACCACGGAAGAGGCTTGGCCGTGGTAGCCCACCGGGAGGTGAAGCCTGCAGCAGCAAACTCACCACGCTCACCAACACGCTCACCAACACACTCACCACGCTCTCCACGCTCACCAACACACTCACCACGCTCACCACCACGCTCACCACCACGCTCACCAACACGCTCAGCAACACGCTCACCACCACGCTCACCACCACACTCACCACCACGCTCACCAACACACTCACCACGCTCTCCACGCTCACCAACACACTCACCACGCTCACCACCACGCTCACCACCACGCTCACCAACACGCTCACCAACACGCTCACCACCACGCTCACCAACACGCTCACCAACACGCTCGCCACCACACTCACCACCACACTCACCACGCTCACCACGCTCACCACCACACACACCACCACACTCACCACGCTCACCAACACACTCACCACGCTCACCACCACACTCACCACGTTCTCCACGCTCACCAACACACTCACCACGCTCACCAACACGCTCACCACCACGCTCACCACCACGCTCACCACCACGCTCACCACCACGCTCACCACCACGCTCACCAACACCCTCACCACCACGCTCACCACCACGCTCACCACCACGCTCACCACCACGCTCACCACCACGCTCACCACCACGCTCACCAACACACTCACCAACACGCTCACCAACACACTCACCAACACGCTCACCACCAGGCTCACCACCACGCTCACCACACTCACCAACACACTCACCACCACACTCACCACTACCAAGCTCACCAGGGGGCTACAGTGAGATGAGAGGGGAGAGGCAGGAGAGTGTGTGGAGGGGAGTGGAGTGAGATGAGAGGGAGAGGCAGGAGAGTGCGTGGAAGGGAGTGGAGTGAGATGAGAGGGGAGAGGCAGGAGAGTGTGTGGAGGGGAGTGGAGTGAGATGAGAGGGGAGAGGCAGGAGAGTGCATGGAGGGGAGTGGAGTGAGATGAGAGGCAGGAGAGTGTGTGGAGGGGAGTGGAGTGAGATGAGAGGGGAGAGGCAGGAAAGTGCATGGAGGGGAGTTGAGTGAGATGAGAGGCAGGAGAGTGTGTGGAGGGGAGTGGAGTGAGATGAGAGGGGAGAGGCAGGAGAGTGCGTGGAGGGGAGTGGAGTGAGATGAGAGGGGAGAGGCAGGAGAGTGCGTGGAGGGGAGTTGAGTGAGATGAGAGGCAGGAGAGTGTGTGGAGGGGAGTGGAGTGAGATGAGAGGGGAGAGGCAGGAGAGTGCGTGGAGGGGAGTAGAGTGAGATGAGAGGGGAGAGGCAGGAGAGTGCGTGGAGGGGAGTGGAGCGAGATGAGAGGGGAGAGGCAGGAGAGTGCGTGGAGGGGAGTGGAGTGAGATGAGAGGGGAGAGGCAGGAGAGTGCGTGGAGGGGAGTGGAGTGAGATGAGAGGGGAAGAGGCAGGAGAGTGCGTGGAGGGGAGTTGAGTGAGATGAGAGGCAGGAGAGTGTGTGGAGGGGAGTGGAGTGAGATGAGAGGGGAGAGGCAGGAGAGTGCGTGGAGGGGAGTGGAGTGAGATGAGAGGGGAGAGGCAGGAGAGTGCGTGGAGGGGAGTGGAGTGAGATGAGAGGGGAGTGGAGTGAGATGAGAGGGGAGAGGCAGGAGAGTGCGTGGAGGGGAGTGGAGTGAGATGAGAGGGGAGAGGCAGGAGAGTGCGTGGAGGGGAGTGGAGTGAGATGAGAGGGGAGAGGCAGGAGAGTGCGTGGAGGGGAGTGGAGTGAGATGAGAGGGGAGAGGCAGGAGAGTGCGTGGAGGGGAGTGGAGCGAGATGAGAGGGGAGAGGCAGGAGAGTGCGTGGAGGGGAGTGGAGCGAGATGAGAGGGGAGAGGCAGGAGAGTGCGTGGAGGGAGTGGAGCGAGATGAGAGGGGAGAGGTAGGAGAGTGCGTGGAGGGGAGTGGAGTGAGATGAGAGGGGAGAGGCAGGAGAGAGCGTGGAGGGGAGTGGAGCGAGATGAGAGGGGAGAGGCAGGAGAGTGCGTGGAGGGGAGTGGAGCGAGATGAGAGGGGAGAGGCAGGAGAGTGCGTGGAGGGGAGTGGAGTGAGATGAGAGGGGAGTGGAGTGAGATGAGAGGGGAGAGGCAGGAGAGTGCGTGGAGGGGAGTGGAGTGAGATGAGAGGGGAGAGGCAGGAGAGTGCGTGGAGGGGAGTGGAGTGAGATGAGAGGGGAGAGGCAGGAGAGAGCGTGGAGGGGAGTGGAGCGAGATGAGAGGGGAGAGGCAGGAGAGTGCGTGGAGGGGAGTGGAGTGAGATGAGAGGGGAGTGGAGTGAGATGAGAGGGGAGAGGCAGGAGAGTGCGTGGAGGGGAGTGGAGTGAGATGAGAGGGGAGAGGCAGGAGAGTGCGTGGAGGGGAGTGAGATGAAAGGGGAGAGGCAGGAGGAGAGCGTGGAGGGGAGTGGAGCGAGATGAGAGGGGAGAGGCAGGAGAGTGCGTGGAGGGGAGTGGAGTGAGATGAGAGGGGAGTGGAGTGAGATGAGAGGGGAGAGGCAGGAGAGAGCGTGGAGGGGAGTGGAGCGAGATGAGAGGGGAGAGGCAGGAGAGTGCGTGGAGGGGAGTGGAGTGCGTGGAGGGGAGTGGAGTGAGATGAGAGGGGAGAGGTAGGAGAGTGCGTGGAGGGGAGTGGAGTGAGATGAGAGGGGAGAGGCGGGAGAGTGCGTGGAGGGGAGTGGAGTGAGATGAGAGGGAGAGGCAGGAGAGTGCGTGGAGGGGAGTGGAGCGAGATGAGAGGGGAGAGGCAGGAGAGTGCGTGGAGGGGAGTGGAGTGAGATGAGAGGGGAGAGGCAGGAGAGAGCGTGGTGGGGAGTGGAGTGAGATGAGAGGGGAGAAGTAGGAGAGTGCGTGGAGGGGAGTGGAGTGAGATGAGAGGGGAGAGGCAGGAGAGTGCGTGGAGGGGAGTGGAGTGAGATGAGAGGGGAGAGGCAGGAGAGAGCGTGGAGGGTAGTGGAGTGAGATGAGAGGGGAGAGGCAGGAGAGTGCGTGGAGGGGAGTGGAGTGAGATGAGAGGGGAGAGGTAGGAGAGTGCGTGGAGGGGAGTGGAGTGAGATGAGAGGGGAGAGGCAGGAGAGTGCGTGGAGGGGAGTAGAGTGAGATGAGAGGGGAGAGGCAGTAGAGTGCGTGGAGGGGAGTGGAGTGAGATGAGAGGGGAGAGGCAGGAGAGTGCGTGGAGGGGAAGTGGAGTGAGATGAGAGGGGAAGTGGAGTGAGATGAGAGGGGAGAGGCTGGAGAGTGCGTGGAGGGGAGTGGAGTGAGATGAGAGGGGAGAGGCAGGAGAGTGCGTGGAGGGGAGTAGAGTGAGATGAGAGGGGAGAGGCGGGAGAGTGCGTGGAGGGGAGTGGAGTGAGATGAGAGGGGAGAGGCAGGAGAGAGCGTGGAGGGGAGTGGAGTGAGATGAGAGGGGAGAGGTAGGAGAGTGCGTGGAGGGGAGTGGAGTGAGATGAGAGGGGAGAGGCAGGAGAGAGCGTGGTGGGGAGTGGAGTGAGATGAGAGGGGAGAGGTAGGAGAGTGCGTGGAGGGGAGTGGAGTGAGATGAGAGGGGAGAGGCAGGAGAGTGCGTGGAGGGGAGTAGAGTGAGATGAGAGGGGAGAGGCAGGAGAGTGCGTGGAGGGGAGTAGAGTGAGATGAGAGGGGAGTGGAGTGAGATGAGAGGGGAGAGGCAGGAGAGTGCGTGGAGGGGAGTGGAGTGAGATGAGAGGGGAGAGGCAGGAGAGTGCGTGGAGGGGAGTGGAGTGAGATGAGAGGGGAGAGGCAGGAGAGTGCGTGGAGGGGAGTGGAGTGAGATGAGAGGGGAGAGGCGGGAGAGAGCGTGGAGTTGATCTGTGAGCGATGCTGGCTGTGTGAGTCTCTCTCTCCCTGTGCCCCCTCACCAGTTGGGCATGAGCGCGTTGGCGGGGCCACGGAACATGATCCCCACGTTGGTCGCGTGGTCCCGCGAGGAGTAGAAGTCCGTGTAGTCTCCTGCAGTCGCGCCAAACACAAAGGTGCTGTGATGAATCGCACCCCCCCCCCCACCCCACCGGGGCCATTTGGGGGGCACAGTGCTCGGGGGGGGGGGGGGGGGGCGTGTCCAGAGATACGGAGCCAGCACGGCCGAGAGCCTGGGTTCAATCCCCGGGTCTGGGTGTCACTCGCTCTGTCTCGGTGTTTCTCAAATGGGTTCGCTCAATGAGTCACCCACTCAGCCACCCACTCAGCCGCCCACTCGGCCACCCACTCACTCGCCCACCCACCCGCTCGCCCACCCACCCACTCGCCCCCCTACTCACCCACCAACTCACCCACCCACTCACCCACCTACTCAGCCACCCACTCAGCCACCCACTCACTCGCCCACGCAGCCGCTCGCCCACCCAGCCACTCGCCCACCCACCCACTCGCCCCCCTACTCACCCACCAACTCACCCACCCACTCACCCACCCACTCACCCCCCTACTCACCCACCAACTCACCCACCCACTCACCCACCTACTCAGCCACCCACTCAGCCACCCACTCACCTCGCCCACCCACCCGCTCGCCCACCCACCCACTCGCCCCCCCCACTCACCCACCAACTCACCCACCCACTCACCTACCCACCCACCCGCTCACCCACCAACTCACCCGCTCACCCACCAACTCACCCGCTCACCCACCAACTCACCCGCTCACCCACCCACTCACCCACCCACTTGCTCACCCACCCACTCGCCCACTCATCCATCCACCCACTCATCCACCCACCCACTCCCTCACGACCCACCCACCCACTCCCTCACCCACTCACCTACCCACCCACCAAACCCACTCATGCAAAGACACGGGCTGTCGGGGCAAGTGTTGTTAGCGAGCAGCGCCTATGAAGGCCGGCACGGCACACGAGGGCGCGGGTGGCGTTTACGCACCGCGCCAGGTTTAAATTGAAAGCTATTTAATCTATGTAGACATAGTTTTAATTTTACCAGGTCAAGCCCACTCAACTCTTTTTCAGAATCGACCTGGCCACAAATGATAGACCAACAAAGTGACTTGTCATCGTGTGGAAATGCACAACACTCCAAGCGCTCTGAAAGCGTGACGTTGATTCTAGCTGTGGAGGGAAAAACCGGAGGACCCGGAGAAAAAAACCACGTGACCACGGGGAGAGAGAGAGAGACACGCAAAATCAAAATATAGAGCAGCAGGCGTCAGGGACGGGATTGAACCCACGACCTCCTGTAGACCAGGCGAGGTAGTTAACATCTCCTAGCCACCGTGATGATGATGAGAGAGACAGAGACACCGCAAACTCCAAATATACAGCAGGCTTCAGGGTTGGGATTGAACCAACGACCTCCAGTATACCAGGCGAGGTAGTCAACATCTCATAGCCACCGTGATGATGATGATGATGAGAGAGACACGCAAACTTCAAATATACAGCAGCAGGCGTCAGGGTCGGGATTGAACCCACGACCTCCTGTAGACCAGGCGAGGTAGTTAACATCTCGCCATCGCGGCGGTCCGACTCATTTGAGGTCGAGCGGATCTAGGGGAGGCCCAGGACTGGCTCAGATCATCGTCGCCGACGTTGGCGATTCCCCATGCTGGTGGGGGCATTGATTCAAACCCATCACACCTCTCTCCGGGGCGGTTGATAAAATGAATACCACTTTGTGGGGTGTGGGGATGGGGGGGGGTCAACGGTAATTGTCCGTCGAACAGACTCGCTCCCGCCACAGGAACGTGGAGTTCCCACCGATGCCGCGCGCCGCTCACCGATGTTGGCGGGGAGGTGCATGGTGGCGTCTTGTCGCAGCGTGAACGCCCTGACGGCAAAGACAAAGACAAAGGTCCCCCCCCACGTGTTAGCCTCAAAAAGATTGTGGGGCAAGTGGTTTGCTAACCGCCTGCACCACCACAACCGCCACCGCCACCGCTCACCGCCACCGGCCACCGCCACCGCCACCGCTCACCGCCACCGGCCACCGCCACCGCCACCGCTCACCGCCCACCGCCACCGCCACCGCTCACCGCCCACCGCCACCGCTCACCGCCACCGCCACCGCTCACCGCTCACCGCCACCGCTCACCGCCACCGCCCACCGCCACCGCCCACCGCCCACCGCTCACCGCCACCGCCCACCGCCACCGCCCACCGCCACCGCCCACCGCCACCGCCACCGCCCACCGCCACCGCCCACCGCCACCGCCACCGCTCACCGCTCACCGCCACCGCCCACCGCCACCGCTCACCGCTCACCGCCACCGCCCACCGCCACCGCCCACCGCTCACCGCCACCGCCCACCGCCACCGCCACCGCCCACCGCCACCGCTCACCGCTCACCGCCACCGCCCACCGCCACCGCTCACCGCTCACCGCCACCGCCCACCGCCACCGCTCACCGCTCACCGCCACCGCCCACCGCCACCGCTCACCGCCACCGCCCACCGCCACCGCCCACCGCTCACCGCCACCGCCCACCGCCACCGCTCACCGCCACCGCCCACCGCCACCGCTCACCGCTGGCGCAAGGCGGCGTCGTCCCGCAAGGCGCCGTCTCCTCCCGTGGCGGCGAGCAGGCGCTGCAGCGTCGCTCGCAGCTCCCTCCACGCGCCGCTGCCCAGCGCCATCAGCCCGTTCAGAGAAGCCTGCGCACTCGCGCACGCACACGCACACGGGGGGGTCAAGCCACGGAGGTAGAAAAAATAAACCAAAACATCAGCACGTTTCGATCGCAACACGAGCACTCGTCATCAGGTGAAAGATTAGCGGGAGAGCTGCTGAGGCAGGGTACTTTAGACGTTTGTGATGGGTGTCGCCCAAGGGTCACAAGCCCTGTGGGCGGCGCTAGTGATGAAATTTGCATGTCAATGTAAGAACGTTTCGATTTAAAGCTTTCGTGACTGCAGGGATTCATCTTCTTGGTTCTTTCGGTAAAGTCACGTAGAAGGGAAGTAATAAAATAATAAAAAATAAAACATAATGAAATAATTCTCACGACGTTTCGGCCACAACGCAAGCAGCCGTCCTCAGGCGAAGACCAGGTCTGTCGGGGAGACAGCGTCTGAAACGTCGTGAGAATTATTTTATTATGGCTTATTTTTATTATTTTATTACTTCCCTTCTACGTACTTTACCTAAAGAACCAAGAAGACGAGAGAGCCTTCGATTTAAAGCTTTCGTGACTGCAGGGATTCATCTTCTTGGTTCTTTCGGTAAAGTCACGTAGAAGGGAAATAATAACGCAAGCAGCCGTCCTCAGGTGGAGAACAGGTCTGTCGAGAGACCTGTTCTTCACCTGAGGATGGCTGCTTGCGTTGTGGCCGAAACGTCGTGAGAATGATTTTATTATGTTTTATTTTTATTATTTTATTATTTCCATTCTACGTGACTTTACCGAAAGAACCAAGAAAATGTAAGAACGAGCAACGGTTTCGCTAATTCAGGACATCTCACGATCTCCAGGTGATTTTCTTACCAGTTTCGATGTACCATTGGAACCTCATTTGCCAGTAAAAAAATATGATAATTGATTTTTTACCCTTCTATCTGGCAACAAAACTGACACCTTTTTTACAAGGAGTCATGTTTGCATAGACAACGATACCTGCAGTCATAATGCAAACAAAAAACATAACTCTGATAATGTAAGCACTGTACTTGAAGTTGATTGGTCCACACCCGAGACAGCTTTCCTTAGAGCCGAGTCTCACATGGTGTTGGACCAGATGACGCCAAAAGGCGCACAACTCAAAGACAATGCACCATCAGAGTATGAGAGCTCGGGGTAAGCATTTACACCATTGGAACCTCATTGCGTGAGTGAGTGAGCGTGTGTGTTAGTGTGTGCATGTGTGCATGGGTGTGTGTGTGCGTGAGTGTGCGTGTGTGTGTGCGTGTGTGAGTGCGTGAGTGCGTGAGTGAGTGCGTGCGTGAGTGCGTGAGTGAGTGAGTGAGCGAGTGAGCGAGTGCGTGAGTGAGTGTGTGCATGTGTGCATGGGTGTGTGTGTGCGTGAGTGAGTGTGTGCGTGTGTGTGTGCGTGTGTGAGTGCGTGAGTGAGTGAGCGAGTGAGCGAGTGCGTGAGTGAGTGCGTGAGTGAGAGCATGCATGAGTGAGTGCGTGAGTGAGTGAGCGAGTGAGTGTGTGCGTGAGCGAGTGCGTGAGTGCGTGAGTGAGTGAGTAGTGCGTGCATTGTGCATGGGTTGTGTGGTGCGTGAGTGAGTTTGTGGAGTGTGTGCGCGTGGTGTGAGTGCGTGAGTGAGTGAGCGGTGAGCGAGTGACGAGTGAGCGAGTGCGGGAGTGAGTGAGTGCGTGAGTGAGTGAGCGAGCGAGTGCGTGAGTGAGTGCGTGAGTGAGTGTGTGCGTGTGTGAGTGCGTGAGTGAGTGAGCGAGTGAGCGAGTGAGTGAGTGCAGGAGTGAGTGCGTGCGGGAGTGAGTGCGTGAGTGAGTGAGTGAGCGAGCGAGTGCGCGAGCGAGTGCGTGAGTGAGTGAGCGAGTGAGTGCGTGAATCGCTCACCTCGGTGAGCACGTGTTGGTGAGGAGTGAGCTGGGGCCCGCTGAAGGCCTCCTTCACCACGCCCAGGTCCAGGATGTGGTCCCCGATCGCCACGCCGATCCGAGGCTGAGGCTGCGCCCACACACAAAGGTCCCCCCCACCGTGTAGCCCACGTAGACTGTTGGGGCAAGTGCTGTTAGTAGCGAGTAATAGGAGTGGGTGAAAGGGGGGGTGAAGGGGGTTGTGTTTCAGATGGAATCGAATCTACGTTCTCCCGGTTGCGAGTTGGGGGGGGGCCCTGTGTGTGCATGTGTCTCTGTGTGTGTCTGTGTGTCTCTTGTCATTGTGTCTGTGTGTGTCTGTGTGTGTGTGTGTCTCTGTGTGTGTCTGTGTGTGTCTGTGTGTGTGTCTCTGTGTGTCTCTGTGTGTGTCTGTGTGTCTCTTTGTCATTGTGTCTGTCTGTGTGTGTCTGTGTGTGTGTGTGTGTCTGTGTGTGTCTGTGTGTGTCTCTTTGTCATTGTGCATGTGTCTGTATGTCTCTGTTTGTCTGTGTGTCTCTGTCATTGTGTGTGTGTCTCTGTGTGTGTCTGTGTGTCTCTTTGTCATTGTGCATGTGTCTGTGTGTGTCTGTGTGTCTCATTGTCATTGTGCGTGTGTCTCTGTGTGTCTCTGTGTGTGTCTGTGTGTGTCTGTGTGTCTCTGTGTGTGTCTGTGTGTGTCTGTGTGTCTCTTTGTCATTGTGCGTGTGTGTCTGTGTGTGTCTGTGTGTGTCTGTGTGTGTCTGTGTGTGTCTGTGTGTGTCTGTGTGTGTCTGTGTGTGTCTGTGTGTGTCTGTGTGTCTCTGTCATTGTGCGTGTCTCTGTGTGTGTCTGTGATCCACAGACACACACTGTGAGCGGTAGTGTAGCGGTTAGCGCGCTGCGCTATGGACCTGGCGACTCGGGTTCGATTCCCGCTCACGGCCAACACCGGTGACGATTATCTGAACCGGTCCTGGGCCTCCCCTAGGTCGACTCAGCCTCAAATGAATACCTGGTGCGGTGTGTAAACATTGCCACTGGGGAGACAAAGGCGGTCGGGCGTGGTGCTGGCCACCCACCCCTCGTGTACCGTTCCGGCCTTCATAGGTGCTCGCTAACAGCACTTGCCCCTACAGTCTGTTAAGGCTACACGGGGGATCTTTGTCTGCGATCCAGAGTCTGAGACTGAGAAACAAACTGGTCTGTCGCTCCACACGAAGCTTCGGGTCTTCTCGGCCACGGTCATGCCTTCCCTTCTATACACTTGCGAAACGTGGACCCCCCTAACGGAACCAATCAGGCTGGTCTGCCTACGATCCAGCCTGGGTTCAACCAGTACGCTGGATTGTGTGAGGAGCTCACAAATCCTTGAAAGATTTGGACAAAGTCCCATCGGTGAGCTCCTCCGGCAGGCAAGGCTGCGTTGGCTGGGTCATGTAGCCCGCATGCCCAGCCACCGCATGCCTAAACAGCTTTTGTTCGGCCGAATCGAGGGGGCTAAACGGACGTGGCACGGGCTAGAGGAGAGATGGAGTGATGTGGTACAGGAGGACGTGGAGCTGAGTGGACGTGCCGATGACTGGTACCAGCGGTGTCAAGATCGGCTTCTGTGGAGGAGGCTCGTGAAGGACGCTACTGGGCAGTTGGAAGCAGCCGCCCTCCAACAACAACGGAGGGCGGAGGAGCGACGCTCACAACAACGAACGGAGCGCCGGGTGGCTAAAATGCAGCAAGTTGGTACAGTAGGGGGCACAGGTGGTGCATCGGCCACTCATCTGAGTCAGCTGACCCTTGGCACCTACTGGGTCTGCCCCGTGACCTCCTGCCAGCGAGCGTTCAACACTTCACGTGGCCTCAAGGTGCACATGGCCTGGCACAAGCGTCGTGGTGACGGTTGTTGTTGTTGTCTGTGTGTGTGTGTGGGGTTGTGTCTGTGTCTACGTGTGTGTCTGTGTGCATGCCTGTGTCTGTGTGTGTGTCTGTGCGTGGGTGTGTGTGTGTGTGTCTGTGTACGTGCGTGTCTGTGTGAGTGTGTGGGGCTGTGTCTGTGTGTGTGTGGGGGGCTGTGTCTGTGTCTGTGTGCGTCTGTGTGCATGTCTGTGTGCGTGTGTGGGGCTGTGTCTGTGTGAAGAGTGTGCGTGTGTGTGCGTGTGTGGGGCTCTGTGTCTGTGTGTGTGTCTGTGTGTGTGTCTGTGCGTGTGCGTGTGGGGCTCTGTGTCTATGTGTGTGCGTGTGCATGTCTGTGTGTCTGTGTGCGTGTCTGTGTGCGTGTCTGTGTGCGTGTGCGAGGCTCACGTTGTCGCGCGTGGAGAACACGCCGTAGGGGAGGTTCTCCAAGGGGAAGTCGGAGTCGGCGGGCACCGGGATGAACGACGACGCCATGGCTGATTGATGCTGGCACGGCACATGGCACATACGCACACGGCACACACACACGCACGCACGCGGCACGGCACACACACACGGCACGCACACACACGGCACACACGGCACACACACGGCACACACACACGCACGGCACACACACACGCACACGGCACACACACACACACGGCACACACACGGCACACACACGGCACGCACACACACACACGCACGCACGGTCTACGTCAGAATGAGTATTTAAGACAAGAGGAATCCCATGAGCTATGAAGCGCGTTTTTCCCCACAGATGTCCAGGAGGGGCGCGGAGTAAGAACGTGACAACAACAACAACAACCAAAATACAAAAAAGCACGAGAGTGCAAAAGTATAGGAAAGGTTAAATTTGACTTA